TAGCAATTATCCTAACATAACATGTGAAGCATTATTTTTGTTATGAATTAATATTTTTTTACATTTTCTGTTATACATCTTCATCTCTATAGTCTTTTATTATTTCCTCACATTGGTTGAGAAAAGCACCATAAGTCTCGACGGGAACGGGGATTGCTTGATCAGCCGAGCACTAGCGAGGAACTCGTACTCGTCGAGCAATCCTTTCTTATTCATTCTTTCTCATTCACTCTCAAACATGCTCGGAAATGTTTGCATTACTTTCAAAAAACGAACACGGAAAGTTTGCCATTTATGGTCCGACCGACTTCCTCTAAACAATTTCAAAAATTATTTTTACTGTTTAACAATTAGAACATGGTTATGGTTGGGTTGACATGTTCTCTGGAACAAAGCACTGAAATTAAATACAGATTTAAAAAAATCTCCCACAAGTTTATGAAAATATTTTATACTTGTGGGTGTGTGTACACAAAATTCAGTTGTTAGATTACTTACGTATAATTACTAAACGATGTTTCTCGTTCGACGGATTTGGATATAGAAAACCAGCAGCCATGCAGAAAGATATTATCTTGTACGTTTCGTGGAATGGGACGAATTTTGCTCCTTCCTTGTCTGTAATATTTCCTCTCAAAATTACTTTCGAGGTTATGAAAATTCGACCAAACGTTATTTCTGGAATATGTCATTTCGGGCTACTGATAGGTAACCTAAGGAGATACAATGCCTGCTAGCGAGCATCTTGTCTATTGGATTTTGACAGAGACAGAGCCTCGTACCAAAAACAGCAATAATTCAAGATTTACCATTTTTTTCAGCCTTCATTTTCTTTCGACACCCCCACATTTCTTTTCATATAAACAAATTCTTCTATACTTTCCGTATTCCTACAAAATAACTAACAAACTAGACCCGTATTCTCATTATATAAAGCTCTTGATTGCCAATCATGTCATCGCGAATCTCGTTGACAAGGTAATAAGTGAGCCGAGTTATACTTAAGTTTTGTATTGTAGATTGGGTTACTTTTTGTTAACTTGAAATATTCTTCTGGACTATGCACTATCACGGGGTAATAATACTTGTAATTATCCCCATTTTATGCAGTAAACTGACCTAAGTAACTTTGACTATATTATATTAAACAACATCTTACTGTCTAAGTCTAGAATGCTAACTCACAATAGAATGCTTCTTCAGGCTGTTACACTCCGTAGACTTTGTCATAATTTGATTGACTGTTCAAATCTTGTGCAAAATATTAAATACAATGTATCCATGAGAGTTCGTCGGCGACGTACGCGCTCCTACCCGATGTTTAAAACAAATGCTGGCATGCATCGACTTACAAATAAATGGACGACGAGTCGAATACAAAAATCACGAAAAAAATGTCCCAAGTCAACCTATTTAAACGTAGTGACATGTAAAGGAATATGAAAAAGCTAAAACGTTGAATCTATATTGTAATGTCATCGCAGTACTGTCTATTTTTGCTTGCTTCGCTGTCAGAAGAAACAAACGAAGACTAAAGCGTGAACGACGCTCTGTATACGATTTTAACGCCCTATAAGTTCGGACACTTTTTAGCGCGGGCCCAACGTCCATATAATTGTAAGTCAATGCTGGCATGCGAATTCTTTCTCAGTACAATGATTTATTTAGTGTTATTGACATATTTTATTTACCTGCTTCTAAATTTAAAAAAGCTATTATTGAAACTCTGAGCTAATTCGTTTTTTGTTGACTTTACTTGATTTCAGTTTTGCCTTACTCATCGCACGCAACAATTTTAATTTCAATTTTAATAGTAACAATACGTGGATAATATTGTTGAATGTTATTATACCATGTACAATTGTTTTTTATCCCTTGAAAATAAATAAATAAATAAACATCATAAAGTAAGTAGCTAAAGCATTTGTGTTAGGAAAATCGGAAACAACGACGGTACCATAAACACCCAGATCCAAGACAATATAGAGAAGTTAGTTTTCTACACCGACCTGGCGGGGGATCGAACCCGGGACCTCACAGACGGCGACACCATGAAAACTGGTGTCCAACCACTCGACCAAAACTGCTTATTGTTTACCCTAAACTCTGCATTCATTAGCGTCTTCTGTTCACTGTTTTTTGTCATCACAGATCTGGCAAATGCGCCTGTTTGCGAGAGGCTTGCATATGAGAATTACGTTGTGCGATCTGTGCGCGTGTCATTCGAGCGCCGTTCGCCCGCTTCATATATTAACAGTAATGTCAGCATTACTTTGTTCCGGTTTGGAAGGGTAAGGGTGCTGGTGAAATTACAGGCACATGGTACTGGTCAACTTATGTCTCAGGGTGATGGACGCAATAGCAGTGCTTCTCAGATCTTTGCGATTTAAAGCTCTGAGTGGCACTGTAACTGTTATGGACAGGCGCGTTCGTCCTGTCACTTGATATTATAAAAAAATAGCACTTTTGTATGAGCAGGAACCTCAGTTTATTAGAGAAGACTTTTTCATTTTATCAAGTGCTATATAGCATGGGATCTTATTAAATATTACTATTGAAAGTATTATGGTAATATGGGGTATTTTTAGATATGGTAAGTTTAGGTGGGTGGAAATAATGGAAAGGTGGAATAGGAAATGGAAATAGAAGAATTTTTAAGCAATACAGAGATATTATATCCCTAATTTAATTCATCGTTAGTAACAATAATTAGTACATAAGTGCATTGTTTCATTGGGTGTGATTTATTAAAATTTTTATTATTTAAAAGAATTTAATAATTTATTATTTATTTTTGTTTATTGCTTTGATTATTTCCTATGCTTAATTTTTAGCTACACCTTTATAGGGTGGGTACATGTATTGTACATTTTAAATTATACTTTACATGATTGCTAGTAAATAAATACTATATACTGAAAATACTAAATAAAAATAATACTAAAAGGATCACCCTCTGTACTTGGACATGTAAACTCGATAACTACATATATCAAATCCAATTTGTAACCTTTGATCACGGCGGCGCATTAACTGAATCAATTATACTACGGTCTGTAATTTAGTTTCGTACATTTTGTAACGCCTCCTTGATTGTCACCGCCTTGTTAAATATTCCCTTTGATTTTATGAGGGGTTGTGTTGTGAGAAGGTCAGCGATTCGTAATTAATTACAAAGATTATGAAATAAGAGATTAGTCGGTTTTATCGAGAATGCTTTACTTGGCAGGACAAAGAATAGTTGAAATTTGCGTAATGTTAAGGAAACGTAAAAGTTTTCGGGTATCTCTTCAAGAACCGACTTCCAAAAAGGAGTACGTTTTTAATTCGACCGTGTGTATTTTTTTGTATGTATGTCACGCGATAACGTCGCCTTACTTCCTCAAGCTCGTATCTTAAAGCACAAAGTTACTGAAATGTAAGAAATGGACTGTATATACAAATTTTGCAGGCTGATTTCATATTACATTTCCTTTATATTCACACACAGGCTTTTACCTATTCTTAAAGTGATACGTCCAAATTAAGACCCCTGACAGAGAACAAAAAGTAAAGAGAACGGACACTCTCCGCCCCTCCCTAGCTTTAGATACCGCACCACGCCCCGCACATTGCCGGTCACATTGACGGAATGACAAAAAGGTTGCCGGCGAGCCGTTTTTGCGCGAAAACGGCTTTGATATTTGAACATACTTGTCATTTATTCATTACGAAACTTGTACGTTAACGTATAACATCATTGTACGTTACTATTTATAATGGTCGTGAATTGTACTGTGTACGGCTGTTTATCATCATTTTCCGAAAGATGAAACGAAGTAAGTAAAAAAACTTAAGTCTGAGACTCAGTCAGTTATTGTTTTCTTCACTTATTTACTGCAAAGTAATTTAAGTATGTATAAAAAATACAGATTTATTATATCAATATAATGAGGCGCCATGACTTAGTGAGCTAGTAGACAAGGGTTCTATAATAATATACGTAAGTAGTGAATATACCTAATTATTAACTAAGTAATGATGATCAACTTGGACACGCAATTTCAAATACCTTGGTTACCTTATTTAAAAGTACAGTCCAAAATATAACATTTGAAGTGCTTTTAATATATTTTTTAAATAAATCTTCAATATTACTGTAGTTAGTGAATTAATGAAAAATATGATATTATATCGATATAAATACATAATAGACATGTAATTATTAGGATTCTGCAAAGTATATGTAGTAATCTGCGCTGCATTCTATTATTAGAATTATAGATTCGCGTTAATATTTCCGCTATATTGCCGCTCTAACTCCACTTCACGCACACATTTGCGCGTGTGCAGATAGCGCCTTGCTATATGTAGTAGTAGTAGGTAAATAATTTTCGACCGTTGCATGGAGTGTCCGGGCTGTGCCCTTGATAAGAAATTTAAAATAAATAGAAAGTTTTGCCGTCTCCTGAAAATCACTCTTTATAAGATACGAGTTTGAGGAAGTAAGGCATCAATAACTCTTTTATAATTTGTTAACCGGTTTTGATGATTATTTTTTGTTGCAAAGAGGCTACCTCACTAGTGGTCCCACTTAAATTTGAAGAATATATTCCACCTCTTGGGTGGCAAACTAGCGGATGAATCCGGTTTCACGTACTTTCTGGTAACCGACTTCAATAATAGATGCAATTCCACGAACTTTTGAGGTTGGTTTTCTAGTATTCTGTTGCTATGTTGTTGTTGGAATTGACCTGATGACTTAATTATCTTTTGTTTTAACTGCCTCCGTGGCCGAACGGTTACCATGCCGGACTGCCATGCAGAGGTCCCAGGTTCGATTCCCGGGCCGGGAGAAATATTTGTATGGCCTACATTTATTTGTCTCGTGAGTTTGGGTGTAATTTGTAATTGTCTATTTGTGTGTCCATGGCACCCGCGACACAGGGTTTCCCTAGTGCGGGGCTATGTCGAGTGTGTGCGTTATTATTATATTATTATTATTGTTATTTTGTCAACAGGTTTGTAATGCTGCTCTTGAAGTGTACATCCGTCGCGCCTACACCTCATACGACATAAGCTGTCTGCAGCATCTAGCACTTTCCGGGGAGCTGGGCGTCGTGCACTTCCAGTTCTTGCTGCCTACTGGACATCCCAACAGGTGAAATGTTTGTTTTTGTAGATTGCCAACGAATTTTAGGACGGATGAATGAAACTAGTGCAAGATCGTGATGAGTGCAGCCAGAGTTGGCTAAGCGCCCGGGTTTTAACCCGGAGCTTTCTGAAGCCGGATTTAAATCGGGTTAAAACCCATTAACGCCCAAAATGTAGGGAAATCCTATTTATAACTTTATTAACTACAACTGCATATCGCACTGCTATTACAATAGTGTTGTAACTCAAAATATGTGAAATTTCATATTATATCTTTAGATATAATATTAAATACAGTCTTTAGAATATTGTTAGAAACAGCTAAAAGATATCTACTTAATTCAAAATGAGACACACTTTACGTGAGCTAATTGGGCGAAAATAATCCTTATTCAAAAATATGAAATTAGTTTTCCCATTTTATTTTTAAATATATTTAAGAAATTGTTTAAGTGTCTATAATAAACTTCAACATATAAATTTTAATGATTTTTTGCGAGAAGTAATTCGTTTTTCATCAATTCTGAAAAAGTCCACTTCTTGAGTTAATACACTATTGTATTAAGAGTGCGATATGTGATAATAATAACGCAAACATTCAAAATAGCCCCGCACTAGGGAGACCACAAATTACACCCAAACTCACTTTTAACTGCCTCAGTGGTGGAACGGTTACCATGCCGGACTGCCATGCAGAGGTCCCAGGGTCGATTCCCAGGCCGGGATAAATATTTGTATGACCTCCATTTATTTATCTCATGAGTTTGGGTGTAATTTGTGGTTGTCTATGTGTGTGTCCATAGCACCCGCGACACAGGGTTTCCCTACTGCGGGGCTATGTTGAGTGTGTACGTTATTCCTCACGAGAGAAGTAAACGTAGTCCGGCATGGTGACCGTTCGGCCACAGAGGCAGTTAATGTGTTGTAAATCAATCGCGTTTTGTTCAAATTGAATGATATTATTAGAAATAAATAAATACAAAAGTTTGTTGCTTTCTGATCTAGACGATTCGATTTGCCTTTCTATTAAATTGATTCATTTGAAAATCGTATTCAATTAAATTACATACAAAAAAACCGTTAGATCGTATAAACTTAAACCGATTTCATAAATATGGAATCGTAATGTGCATCCGTGGTGTGAGGCCAAATTTATTCAGTTGCTTTTAAACGTTTATACGGGGTGTTTGTGTCGTAATAGTGTAATGGATCCATTAAATGGTATGCATTTATGAAGCATTAGAAGACGATGTTCGAAAAAGAAAAAGAAGCTGGATACATCCACTCAATATGAAATGATTAAAGTGTGGGCAGTTTCATATATTATGCACAAGTTTATGTGAACATCCAGATCAATTTGTTAAGTACTACCACATGCCAATAAATGTTTTTCAAGAATTATTAAGCCTAGGCAAAACAAATATGTAGCAAGCCATCAATCCAGAGGAAAGACTAATAATAACATAACAAATATATTTACTTACTATATAGTTTGTTATAATTATTAATACAAAGATGGAACATTCAGAAAAAATTCCTTCAATCCGGCCGGATTCGAACCGACGTCTTCTAACATACCGTGTCAGACGCTATACCAACTCAGCCACGGAACGAACCAGCGGACCTCACGGGTTTTTCTATGTGAAGCCGTTTTCAACGGCTTAAAGCCGTAGCCGCCATCTATGACAAATCTTATCGTCTGGTCTGGCACGGTGTGCTAGAAGACGTCGGCTCGAATCCGGCCGGATCGAAGGAATTTTTTCTGAGTGTTCGATCTTTGTATTCATAATTAATATGAATTTTTATTAATTTAAATAAACAAAACGATGGTTTGTTTGAAAAACAAATAACACGATTTAAATCCGAAAAAATAGTTTCATTTCCTATTTGTTAGTTTTTTTTATATAATGTCTAGTGACGGGACGAACAAGTCGTGCGCCCTTCACGTTAACTACGCGCCTGTTTAAATCACAAAGATCTGAGGGGCACTGCCACTGCGCCCGACACTGAGGGTTGCCATTAGGGTCGTATTTCCAGTGCTTGAAATCATACTCAAGTCTGCTCAAGTCCTGACTTGAGCATTGAGTAGAGTTCTGGAATACGACCCTGAGACTTAAGTTGACAAGTGTGTGCCTGTAATTTCACCAGCACCCTTAACCCTTCAAAACCGGAACACAGTACGTTGACATTACTGCTTAGCGGCAGAAATATACCTATTTCTTATTTAAGTGGCAGACGAACTCTTTCACGAGGAGCTCTTCTGCTACTAAAAATGATATTTGATAATTGATTGTTAACTTTGAAATTGATTAAAACGTTTGTTTCTTTTTTATTTATTTGTTCTATCTTTTTATTTTGTGAGGTTGCAATTAAGATCATATAATACAGCTCGACTTCAAACCTGTTGTGCCTTATGTAGTTTGTGCCATCCACTACGATTTTGCGCTAGACTCACTCATCTACCGTCTGTCTCCTTGACGATGTCGTCTACCCATGTCGCCGCAGGACGGTACACGTTATTGTAGTTTTATCCAACATTCCGTTGTCGCTTTACACCATTTGTCATCACCTTGTCTCGTAGGACATATACACCAGCTCCATTTAGTTTTATTACCGATCTCCTATGTCTTGGGTATCTGCAATATGCGTGTCATATTTTTTTAAAATTATTTTATTAAACGCCTGGACTCAAGTACCGTCAATAAAGTAATAGTCACGAAATTTTAATACCAAATTATGTAATGATTGCATGCAGTACGTTTTGTACGAGTAAACATTTTTGTAATTTTACGGGGAAGCGATTTTGTGTCGAAAAGCAGTTTGTACGACAATTAGGGTAGCTCGAAATGTTATTAAAACTCAATTAGTTTTATTTCAAGCCATTCTAAATGTTGTACATGCTGCATTTCGACACAAAATCGCGTTCCCTGTAAAATTGCAAAAGTTGCACTACCTGAGAAGCATTACACTGTAGTGTAATGCTTCTCAGGTACGGATTAATGTATTAGTAATATTCAGGTTAGTTTTCTTTCTGTAACTAATCTCGATGGCAATTTCTATTATTTAAATATTGTAGAATATTATCATGAAGTAAATATAGTTCGAGTTATAGATTTTGTTAACAATCCACGACAACGACAACAATCAAACGAAAGCCACACAATCACTACAAAACAAAAACCAAAGAGATGGAATAGAGATGTCCGTGATTGGTCAAATACTGCTTATATTTAACCAATCAGGGAGGCAGAAGAGCGTTGAGTAACGTCATATTCGATATTTTATATTGTTACTCCGAAATTTTATTGTGAAAACGTACGCAGTTCCCCATAAATGAATCGTTTGCCTTTGTTAAACGAAGTCGTGGTACCATGAGTTTGGACTTAGTTCTAAAGTTAATTTTTTGGATATCTTTCTTAATGAACTTAAAATAATAAGCTATTATTAATCAAGACATTGGTATAACCTTTCTAGAATACCCATCAGCCAATCGGAGATTGAGCTGGCCTCAGCCCAGGACGTAGAAGGCATCCCGGCCGAGTTGAGTTCGGCTGCGATGCGCAAATGTCACTTCCGAACGGGTGCTTTGGCCGCGTTCGACTCGTTCGATGAATTCGTACAATACGCCGACGAACTACTGGATTTGGTTCACGATTTCGCGTCAAACGCGTATGTGAGACGAGAGGTAAGAATTGTTATCATGGCGAGTTCTTAGGTTTTCACAATTTTTTCGGATCTAAGGCTGCGAATCTACCAGAGATGTGCGAGGTATCTAGGCGATGTGCGAGAAAAAATCCACCAATAGGAGTACTTCATTCTCCTAGCATCGCTTAGCGTGGCTCTGGTGAAAGAGGGTTAGCGGAGTGAAATATTTGTTCATACAAAATAGCGAGAGATGCGAGTGAGGATTGTGTGCGAGGTACGCGAGAGGGAGTAATGCGTGTGAGGTGTGCCAGCGAGGAATGTGTGTGAAGAACGCGAGCGAGTTCGCCGTCGCCTCCGATCACCACATCGCACCCGCGCACTGTTGAAAAGAGTCCGATGCTTATCAAATCACAGCCTAAATCGGGCGGTTTACATTAACATTAGACGTAACTGATTGATAACTTTGCCATCTCAGTCAGCCGTGACCATGGGACCAGTAAAGGGCCTGGAACGTTGGTTTGTTTGAAAAAACAAATGTACGCGATTTATTTATTTATTTATTTATTTATTGCATATCACACATGAAGCTTACAGGTAGTACTTACAATATTGGGCAGTTAATATGTGACGCCCTGCAAGGGCACAGCAACTGTGGAAGACAGTCTCACATTGACATTATTAATACAGCAATTTAATTAATTTATATACAATACAATTTATACGTTATGAGTTGTAAATAAAATATTAGAACTAAATAATCATTTTATCAAATCGTCAAACGATAAACATCTTTCTAATTGTACTAAATAACATATGTCAATTAGACATTATAGGTAATTCGAATCTTTAATTAATTAGATATCCATTTAGATTCGAAGAACTAATGTTTTATGAGAAAATGTCTCACTAATAACGTTCTTGGTGGCCAAGCTGTATAAACATGTATCGAAAGTCGAAAACTCAATGCAAAGATCTCTGCCGTCCAATAACTAAAACGCGGCTATGTGACAAATGGTCAAATATCCGTTTTAAATAGAAAAAGATAGAGCACAAAATTCTTTTTTAAACACAGTTACAATTAGTTAACGGGTTCGACTTATCGGAACTTACTCTAACGATGCATAGCTGAAATATCATTAAACAATTTCAATATTCTAAAACTGTAAAGACGTTATATCGACAACAGACACATAGCAGAAATTGGTCGACTTAGACTCGATTTACATTGCTGCCAAACGGAATGTGAACGGAGGCGACAATTTCGCCACGGAGTTTTCTCGCAACTGCAACATGATATTATGTTTATATCTTTTTTTTTTTTATTGTGACTCGGCAAAATGACTGCACCGCGCCTGATGTAAAGTGCGAATACAGTCCAGAGATGAGAGTAACGGATGGAAAACACAAATATCTTCACTCCGTCACTATCATTTTGCCGGTCTGGCCAAATGCTTCTTCACACTACGTTTGAAGGACCCGATGTTATAGAGGGGAGGGAATACATGCGCCGGGAGTTGGTTCCACAATTTGATGGTTCGGCATAAAAACGAATTGCCAAACTTTTTAGTGCGGGACGGTATTGAACTGACCGTCCAACTGTGGCAACGCAGTCCGGCACGGGTGGTCCGCTGATGGAAAGGAGAGGAAGGGATAAGGTTGAATAACTCTTCAGAGCACTCACCGTGGTACAGGCGACAGAATACGCTAAGAGACGCTATATCTCTGCGAAGCTGTAACGACTCCGCATGCTCAGTTACATGAGGATCGTTGACAACACGGAAGGCGTAGCGCTGCAGTCCATCTAGGGCATCGAGCAAGTACTTGGCAGAGCCGTCCCAAAGGTGCGAACAGTACTCCATGCTGATTCGGACCTGAGCTTTATACAACAGGTATCGCAGCTCTGGAGTAAAAAATCGGTGCACCTTGTTCAGGATGCCAAGCTTGCGCGACGGCGCGGTACAGATGACGCTCTCGATATAATCTTTGTTGCTCATGTCCTTCCTTATATCTCTCTTAATTATTAAGCCTTTATTCTTTTATAGGATCTTCAAGCGTTGCAAGAGGGCAGCGAGAGCCGTGATAGTACAAGCATAAACGTCGGTGCCGACTACAAGCAAATCGTGGAAGATGAAGTGGTATAACATTATATTTTATTTTTATTACAGCTTTGAATAACAAAAATTCGTGGTAGTGACCCGTTTAGCCTTGCAGGTAGTCTCGATCTAAGATGTTTAAATTAAATATTGTAATGATAAATGTATTCTTATCTCAGGGCGCTGTGGCAGTGCCCCTCAGATCTTTGCGATTTAAAGCTCTGAGTGGCACTGCAACTTTTATGGATAAACGTGTAGTTTATCATCAGGTGCACGGCTTATTCGTCCCGTCACTTTATATTAAAAAAAATAGAGTTAGAGTTTCTTAGCTCATTCTTCTGAAGGCAAAGAATCTGCCTTACGAATGAGCAGTACAGTTTAATCGGTATGACGATTTCAAGTTTAATTTGTTTACCATTGAAATAAAGACTATTTGACTTTATTTATTATCATGATGTTTTTGCCACAATCATATTCGTATATGTAACCACGGTCAGGCAACAGACGCTGGTTCAACTCCAGTTGGATCGAAGGAATTTACTTTGTTTTTGGTCGGTATTTGTAACAATAATAATAATAAACTAGTGGTATAAACTCTATCCTCTATCTACTTACTATGACTAAAATTATGGAGTAGTCTGTGGCCGTCGACTGATTTGACAGTTCTAAACTAAATAATTTTTTGCGTTAAGGTTATATAATACTTTGATCTGGAGATGCACCTTTTTGTTTTGTTTTATAATATCAAGTGACGGGACGAACATGTGCGCCTGATAGTAAATGCCTGTCCATAACAGTTGCAATGCCACTCATGAGCTTTAAAACGCAAAGATCTGAGGGGCACTACCACTGCGCCCGTCACCCTGAGACATAAGTTGATAAGTCCCAAACCGGAACACAGAAAAGAGCACATTAGTGCTTGGCGGCAGAAATAGGTAAGGTGGCAGTACTATCCTGGATGAACTCTTTCACAAGGAGCTCTACTGCTATTAAAATAACCTTCACTTTCCCGTGTAAATTGACTACAATAATTGGCATTTTGAATGATACCATCCCAAGTACCAAAACCCTACACTGCATTGATTAGCGATTTTGAACTTAGTTTAGTTAGCTAAATAACGTCCTTTAGTTATTATTAATCCCTTAATCTGCACAAACGATGTCTGAAGATTCAGTTCTAAACCATGAAGGTTCCGACGTAAATATTTGCGTGTGAGTGTGTGTAGGCTCGTGCGTACGTAGCGTGCATGCCTGTGGTGTTCATGCCAGCGTGCGTGCGTGCGTATTCATGTAGTTTATTTTATTTTATTATCCGTTTCGGGACGCATATGTCCGTTACTTACTCAGCCTAGTCTTGGTTGTGATCTTTTCGGCGGTTTAGGACTACAATGTAAATGTTGTTACGCTGTTTTCTGTTAACTTTATTTATCCTTTTTTTGTGTGCTGTTTTTATAATGTGGCGTTGCAATAAATGGTTTCTATTTCTATGTTTTATTGCCCATGGATTATTTACATCGACCGTATGATTTTTTGTTTCGATTGTTTAATGCACACCATCGTATGGCTAAATTGGACTACATCTTTATTATTACGTGCATATGAACAGGATAAAGTGTAGCCCATTTCCCCGCAGCCCTTCGAGCCGATTCACATCTTGATGATCGGCGTGCGCGACAGCGGCGAGAGCGACGACGCGGCCGTGTCGCGCCGCTTCGGCAACTTCTGTCGCGCGCACCGCCACGAGCTGCACAAGAAGCGCATACGCCGCATCACGTTCATGCTGTTGATCAAGTTAGTACAATTGAAATAATACGTTTATTTTACTTTATATAGTTATTTTTGATACAAGTGCGGAAAGTTAGTCATTGTTCACGAGTATCCTGGCTACGAAAATATTTTGGTATTTTTAAATGTAATCCGTTGTTTTATAAAACACCTATGCAATTTAAACAAATAAGATGTTTGTAAGTAAATATAAGTTTTAATGACGAATGACTTACGTCACAAAGCACATAAATATTAAATAAATATACAACCTCTTTAGTTCTACGTTTAACATTTGAAACAACAGTAAATTTAAAAAAATGGAAAAGTAAAAAGCACTAGTGCGAAAATCCCAATTTTCGGCACGATTTGTAGTACGAAAAATATCACGTTTTGAGCAACTGTATTCAAAATACATTTTAACCGACTCCAAAGAAAGGAGGAGGTTCTTAATTCGACTGTATTGTTTTTATATGTGTGTTATGCGATAACTCATTTATGAACAGAGTTTGATGAGTCTCTTTTTTTTGGAAAGAGGGTACCTCAGTAGTGATCCCATTTAAATTTGAACAAAGTATTCCACCTCTAAGGGTGGCAAACTAGGAGGTGAATCCGGTTTCGCGCCCTATCCAGTAACCGATTTAAAAAAACCTGGCAAATAGATGTAATTCGACAAACTTTTGAAGTTGGTTTTTTAGTACTCTGTATACTGAGATTGTTACAATACAGCTCCGTAAGGAATTACTGTCACTATATACAGGGTGGAAAAATCAATAGGACGTGAAGGAGAACTACCTTAAATGCTTGAATATAATGCTTAAGATGAATAAAAAATATTATAATTATTAAAATGGCTAAGGAGTTGTCCCTGTGTTGGTTTTTTGTAAAGAGCTCACAAAATCTAGAAATTCAGAATTTAAAACAATTTTTTTACCTGAATTTCAAGAAAATCGTTAAGGAATGTAACTACTATGTAACATAAAACGGAACGGAATCCCACGAAACGGAACTGATTTTCATGTAATTTTTTTGGCTAATCGGCTAGTGGCTAATGCCATGAAAAATATACTGACAGATGTGTGACAGATGTCATTATTGTTAGAAGAATATTCCCACGAAACCCTGGCACTTAATTTAAAATCACCCTCAAAAAAATTTACACTTCGGACATGGAAAATTCGCAGCTCATTTGAACAGATTAAAACTTAGAAATTCA